CACGCTTCTCTACAAGCAAGAGCAACTGGGTGAACTCAAGTGTTCCACGACTACATCACACTACAACGACACGGGACAAGACAGAGCTGAACTGTACACAAGACCACACAAAAGAAGACTAAACAGATTGTTGAACGTGGATAGAGGGATAGAGAGCCAGGGATTAAAATCGAGAAGAAAGAACCAAAGGTTGAAATGCTATCAAGTACTGGATACCCACGGATAACAAAACAAACGTTGGTCCTTTCTTCTTGAAACTGATCATTGAAAAAAGAAAGTAACCATAAGCCTGTAAGATACAGATCACCTCACCCAAACACCCAGTGATTCAGCATTGCACATGTATTCTGTTATCATGCTTACCTGCTGCTTGCTGTGCAGTCTCAGCGCCTTGCTGCGTGCGACACGCACAGAAATTATTCGGACACGGAACGATCTCGAACTTCTGGCCGTCGTCCGACAAAGCCAGAAAGTATCCGGGCTGCAGAAAACAAACAGTATAACAAGAAACACAGGGCATGCATGTAGGTCTGGCTATGGAATCAGTACATGTGAAGAGTTGCAATGCAAAACATGCAAGGCGCCAACAAAATTTTAAGAGATGCAGATACGAACTGGAAGCACTCCGTTAGCTGATTCTGATTTGAGGGCATACGAAAAATGTCCAAAATCTGGAATAAGAACTGACTACAGGGTTCTAGCCAGCGTAATATATTATAGTTTGGTACGGCCCTGGCATCACTCAAACACACACACACACACACACACCGTATCAATGAGAAGAAGAAGAAGAAGACAAGAGAACCACTAGAGGATGCGCTCTTCCATACTTGATGGGATCTCATTGCTATGGTGAAGTACATGTAGCGGAAAATACGAATAGCGCGTACAGAGTCAAAATATTATAAATACACCTGTTACACTTGCGCGCAGTGCTACTTTATACACGAGGTGGAATTCCTCTGACAGAACAGTACTTCAAGCCAGTCATGCTATAGACATAGTGCGGTACTTACCACCAGTGCAAACACCTGATCACCAGCACAGCGCACCAGACCATCAATATTGCTGTCCGTACTGGCACAGACGCATGAACAGCGACGGCGATGGCACTGCAGCGTGAAGCCGACCGGGCAACCGGTGTCCTCTATCACCAATACATGATGGTTACTAGCCTGCCGCGTATGATATACATACACATACACATACACATGCCGTGATATAAACACATACACACAAGCACACACACACCAAACACACACTTCAAACACACACACACACCAAACACACATACATAGACGTACATTACCACGGTTTACTCCATGTGTGCAGTGATGCACATTTGCACAACTGCATGTATGCACAAGCTAACCCAATTACCCCTGTTCAATTATTTCAAACTTGCCACAATCCTGCAATAATTATATACCTGAAAAACACTGTTATCCCGCAGAGTGAAGGAGAAGTTGATGCTCGCTGGCGTGGAGGTATTGGGACGAAAGACGTATCGGAAATCGTCCTCTCTCTCATCCAAGTCTGCATCCCCATCGTTATCTGGGTCTTCTGTTGTGTTGAAGTAGAATTCCGTGAAGAAGGCGTCGACCGGGAGGAAGACTTGGCTCTACCAGGAAAGAGACACGACAAACCGAAATACAGGACAAGGAGGACAAAAGCTTGGAGTAGATACGGGGGAGTTGGTAAATGTGCACACACAGAAAACACATCAGAAACCTCACAACCTGCAACACACACACGCACACACACACACACACACACACACACACACACACGCACAGAAATACACAGTCCCGCTTAGTGTTTACCCGCAAAGAATGCTCCTCACACATACAGAAACAAAGCACATGGATCCATTCACCTAGGGCACGGCACCTCAACCACACAGCCCGGTCCAACCCAGCTCTGCCTGGCCCAGGAAAGACCAGCGCGCGCACACACACACACACACACACACACACACACACACACACACACACACACACACACACACACACACAGCACACACAGCACACACAGCACACACGGCACACACAGCACACACAGCACACACAGCACACACAGCACACACAGCACACACACACACACACACACAGCACACACAGCACACACAGCACACACAGCACACACAGCACACACAGCACACACAGCACACACAGCACACACAGCACACACAGCACACACAGCACACACACACACACACACACACACACACACACACCACACACAGCACACACAGCACACACAGCACACACACAGCACACACAGCACACACAGCACACACAGCACACACACACACAGCACACACACACACACACAGCACACAGCACACACGGCACACACAGCACACACAGCACACAGCACACACAGCACACACAGCACACACAGCACACACAGCACACACACACACACCACACACACACAGCACACACAGCACACACAGCACACACAGCACACACAGCACACACAGCACACACAGCACACACAGCACACACAGCACACACAGCACACACAGCACACACAGCACACACAGCACACACAGCACACACAGCACACACAGCACACAGCACACACACACACACACAGCACACACACACACACCACACACAGCACACACACACACACACACACACACACACACACACACACACACACAGCACACACACACACCACACACAGCACACAGCACACACACACACACACACACAGCACACACACACACACACACACACACACACACACAGCACACACACACACACCACACACAGCACACACACACACACCACACACAGCACACAGCACACACACACACACACACACACAGCACACACACACACACCACACACAGCACACACACAATGCAGCACTACTTCTTACAGTGTTGGGTCTCATATAGACCATGGAAGCCACACGCTGTCCCAGCTCATCCAATGCAAACACGTTGAGTGGGAAGAACTCTCCAGGAGGTAAACGTGGTACACTCACAGTCTGCACACACACAGGTTGTACACACATACACACACACAGGTTGTACACACTGTGACACAGGCATAGAATAATTGATCACTGCAAATGATAGTATACTTGTCTCAGGTGGAAAATCACATCACCAAGCACATTTACTCACGCGCATGGCAAGCATGCAACTCTCTCTTCCCTCTCCCTCTCTCTCCCCTCTTCCCTCTCCCTCTCTCTCCCCCCCCCCCTCCACCCTCTCTTCCCCACCCTCTCTTCCCCACCGCCTCTCCCATACACCCCCCCCCCCCCGTGTGTCCTCTGCTCTGATACACACACACACACACTTGTGGCAAGTATGCAACCCCCCCCCCCCCCTCCCCCCCCCCCCCACACACACAGCAAAAAGCTGGGCAATGAACATCTCAACCGGGTAGGCATAGTGAGCATCAGCTCAGTGTGCAGGTTTTCCCAGCAGCAGCAGCAGCAAGTCCACACACTTACATTCTTAGCAGCACTGCCTGCACCAGCAGCCTGTGTAGCTGTGCTGTGTGCAGTGGCAGTGCTGTGTGCAGCAGTTATACTGTACGCCACCGTGCTGATGTCATTCTGAGCTCTCCGATCTCCACTGCCAGCCAGAACATAGTTACCTCTGATATATACAGACGGGTCGACGGATGAACAGACGGATGGACGAATGGACGGACAGGCAGAGAGACAGACAAAACAGGCAGAGAGACAGACAAAGAAAGGTGGTTGGATGGAGGGACAGGAAGTTGGATTCACAAACATCAAGGAGACTAGTAAACAGACACACACACCATTGACCATTGACCATTGACCATTGACCATTGACCATTGACCATTGACCATTGACCATTTGATGCCCATCGCCAGAGGCGATGATAGCGATGCTACAGCAGAAGCCATAGCAACTTGTGCTGGGATTGCACCATTCAACAGCTTGCAAGGCTGAAGAATTGACCGCCACTATTCAGCGGACACACACACATACACACATTGTATGAGGGTCAAAGACACACTGAGGTAGTAGTTAGCCAACAGTGCAGTGTCCTGTGGAGAAGTGTAGCCCACCGATACAGCAACGTGTGTCTGGCACAGTGGAGCAGAGCGATACAGCAATGTGTGTGTATGGCATAGTGGAGCAGAGAGATACAACAATGTCCGCTATGGCATAGTGGAGCATAGAGCAACCGCACAACCTTAAAGTGAACCAACCCTTACATACCTGTAATGCATGAAGCTCCACTGCAGTGCACTGTGTATATCATGATATGGAGCAGTATCATAGCCTGTCCAGCTGCACAGACTCAGGCTGGTAGCGTAGACAGCTCCTCCACCGCCGGATTTACCGGCTGAATTCTCGACAAACGAGACATTAAACTGCAATAGAGGGAAATCGGAGAGAAATAGTCCAATCCACTCATGCATGCGGATATGGATACAATCCAGGTCTTCCGTGTTACAGGTTTGGCTGCGCTGGCAAGCAGTGACTTCACCCTTAAGCCCTCAAAGACCATCAGACCGGTGTGTATCAACATTCTCTGAAAGGGGGTTCTTGCATATAGCCCTTTTTAAGTGCACATTTCAATTCAGAAACATACCGGCTGCCGGTACTGAAACAGTTGGTAAGGGTTTGCCAGACCTGTCAGTACTGCCTGTCCACTGCACGACAATAACACGCATGTGTATGTGCATGCAAGCGTAGCAAGAAGGAGCCACGGGTGTGCGTGATCCCCGGTAACCTAATCGGTAGGGCACTGTCGACGTGTCCCGGAAAGACAGGGGTGCTGAGTTTGAATCCCGCTCGTGGCTGCTTCTTTTGCAACACAAGTACATACGCATTATGTGAATGCAAGCTCTCTCTCTCTCTCTCTCTCTCTCTCTCTCTCTCTCTCTCGTACACACACACCCACCCACACAAACACCCACAAACACCCACACACAACCAAACACACACACACACACACACCCCTCCCCCCCCCCCCACATACACACGCATGCACAAACATCAAATTGTACCTTCCAGTTGCGAGGAAAGGCCTGCCGGTCGCTGGCATATGCAAACATGCAGTCCGGGTTGTAGCGGAACCAAGCCCTTCGCGTGGCAGCCGGTGGCCCTTCCCAGTAAATGCCACCGCCTGAGATGTGTGCATGGTTCTTGTAGAACTCCAGCTCTGAACCCTCTACCATGAATACCTGCAAGTCACACAGGGAGTAACAGCAAAAACACACGTAAAGCCAAAGTATGGTCACAGGCTTCACAGGCTTCAACCAGTAGAGCCTTTATCTGCAGAAGTTGGGACAGGCAAAGCCATAACTGGGGCAGGTGGAACAGGCTAAGCCATAATTGAGGTGGCTGAGGCCGACCCAGGCCATGGAAGGCAATCGCTTCACAGGTAAAGCCAGTCACAGAGCAGGTAAAGCCAGCCTCACGGTGCAAAGTGAGCTAGATGCAAGTGAAGTGAAGGGTGTTTCTCATCCTCAAGAGCAGGATGCATGCAGACCAAGCCGCGTAGAGTAAGTGCTGCTAGGCCTGCTGAGGACAAAGTACATGTAAGACAACTCAAAGACGGGAAGAGCCTAGCCCATAGCAGGGAAGAACCTAGCCCATAGCAGGGAAGAGCCTAGCCCATAGCAGGGAAGAGCCTAGCCCATAGCAGGGAAGAACCTAGCCCATAGCAGGGAAGAACCTAGCCCATAGCAGGGAAGAACCTAGCCCATAGCAGGGAAGAACCTAGCCCATAGCAGGGAAGAACCTAGCCCATAGCAGGGAAGAGCCTAGCCCATAGCAGGGAAGAACCTAGCCCATAGCAGGGAAGAACCTAGCCCATAGCAGGGAGAGCCTACTTGAAGTGTAACATGTTGCACATGTTCCGTTTGGCGTAGTAATATTTCCACTCTTGATTGTAGCTATGAATGTGAGTCTACTTCATGACATGTATGCATACGTCATCCGTACACACTCACAGGCACACACGCATGCGTATCCTTTCGTTGGCTCGCTCTGTTATGATGCTGTAGAACCGTAAAGTTTAGCCTTTTTTTGTAATTTTGGCATGATAACGTGCAGAAAGTTTAACAATGGCTACCTGGCCACCCATCTGTACGCACATCTTTACACAGACATCTCAAACCGGATTCGCGGTGACATTTCTTCAAAGAACGAAAAATTGGCCGTTAAAACGCTAGTCTTTGTGACTCGTTAGACTTTCCGGTTTTACAGTAGTCAATAGCAAGGAGAGCCTGGCTCATGGCAGGGACATCCCAGTCCAAGGCAGGGAAAACTTAGATCACTGCAGGGAGAACCTGACCTATGGCAGGGCGATCCGGACCTTAGATAAGGTATCCAATACCCAGAACAGGCAATCCTGACTGTGTGGACCGTGTCTCTGTCGTACTGCCCCCGGCCCCCAACACTCACCTGGCTAACCATGCGTATTCTCAAACCACCACCTTGCTGGCCGCGATTGCCAGTGAACACAATCTTGCCACCAACATACATATTGGCTGTCTCAAACATCACCGCCGTCACATTGTTGTTGGTGAAGTGATTGATGCCGTAGAACTCAACGTTGGCTTGCACGGCCAGGAATGAAGCAGCGTAATCATTAGCGGTCGAGACGGCTTGTTCAAACGTACTGTACACAGCCAAAAGTACCAAGGTGTCCCGTGAATAGGTGAAACATTAAGACAACAACAGGGTTGTAACTATTTGTTTGGGGACTTCCATTGCTGAAGATAACAACTGTGAACTATTCAGTATAAAGACTAGTTAGTATATACACGGGCCTCAGTAGGTCTCCCTGCCTCCCCTACCCCTCCCCACTCCTTAGATCCCCTCCTTTTCAGGCAACTGCCGCATTCTTTAGCTTTTACTCCCTTGTACCAATCCCGGTGACATATTCGTAATAAGTATCCGTTATCCAACAGGGGGAAGGGGGGGTCAACAGGGGGAAGGGGAAGGGGGGAAGGGGGAAGGGGGGGAAGGGGAGGGGGGTGGAAGGATTCCCTATTTCTAACATATGACTGTGCGAGTGATGATGTGGAATGCAGCATGTCAGCAGACATCTCGAAATTGTAAAAAAATCACGGTTCGCGTGAGACACGGCTGGGGGCCGAGTTTTGCACATCCGTAGGAACGCTGCCACCCTCTATAAAAACACACATCCGTAGGAACGCTACCACCCTCTATAAAAACAAAACAAAAAACTTTGAGAAGGACAAAACAGCAGCAACTGCTAATCTCTTATTGGCGATGGTGCCATCGTGAGCATAAAGAACTCAAAAACCATCAAGTTCACTACACACGCGTACTCTGGGGCTTGTGACACTATACTACCATCACATGATACTGGTCGGGGGGGGGGGACTTTCACCCCTCCATTTAGGGCGCATGTGATCATGACCCGGGGGAAATGGCCGAAAAGATGTGCCTGTGGAATAAAAAAAAGGTTGGGTGAGTCTGGGATTTGAAACTACGGGACCTATGACACCCAAAGCGAGAATCATACCCCTACGTCATAAAACCATTGTTATTCGAGATAATAGCTGGGATCATAATCTACATGAACATGTACAAGGACAATTTCATGTGACATTTCCCAAAAAAAGAAGCAATCTGGACATTTCACAGAAGAAAAAATTTGGGCCTGTCCGGGATTTGAACCCGGGACCTCTCGCACCCAAAGCGAGAATCATACCCCTAGACCAACAGGCCTGCACAGGGTGACTGCATGCAGATCTCATACCACAGCAATAGTCACCATGTCTGCTAGAACAATGCCAGAGTTGAAAATGGATAGCAGGATATCACACTGCCGACTGATATCTGCTGGCACGTGGCCACCCATCTGTACGCGGATCTTTACACAGACATCTCAAACCGGGTTCGCGATAACGTTTCTTCAAATAACGGAAAAAATGGCCGTTAAAAGTTAAAACGTTAGACTTTGTGACTCGTTAGACTTTCCGGTTTCACAGTAGTTACTGAGAGTACGTACCAGTCTTGCACTATGATGCGCTGTGCATAGTGATGCAGACTGTAATGACCGCGGACACGGAACGACGGTGCACCGGCAAACGCCTGGTTGCCGGTCAGCGTGCAGCGGAGAAACCTGATGTACTGCTTTCCAAACTCTGGCCCCGGTGTTACGCCAGGCCTAATCCATATAGGGTCAAAGAGGACGTCCACACCAGCCGCACTCATTGCCCAGTTGTTGAGAAAGCTGCAGTCCGTCACCAGGATTGTGTTGTTGTACGTGGTGGACACCACCTTGATCGACAGACCTACACAGAGTCACAGAGTGCGGGTACACGTGCAGGCACACATATACACACACACACGCGCGCGTGCACACACATACACACACACGCACGCACATGCACGCACACACACACACGCACACACACACACGCACGCACACACACACACACACACACACACACACACACACACACATACAATGTTCTAGTTCTTAGAATAAAATACTGGTACCAGTGCATTCTGTGGCACATTTTTAGCTGTTCAGGGTTGTCTCTGTGCTTCTCAGCGCTAACGTAAAACCTCGCTGAAACAGAACGGACGCCAAGTGCCATGTCATCCATGCATGCAATTCCATACAGTTCAAACACACTCGTGTATGTAGCGCAAGCATGCACACACACACACACACACACACGGTCACCTACCGGCGCCCTCCTCGTTGGAGACGTTATCCGAGAAAGTGCAGTTTGTGATGTTGACGTGATTCAGGCCGCCACTTTCGGCAATGTCGCAGAATATGCCACCGCCTCTGCCGCACACTGCATTGCCTGTAAACACCGTGTTCACCACGCTGATGTCCGCCATCGTACCTTCGAGCAACACACCCATCGCAGCCCCATCTAGAAACCCGGTCACAAGCTGCAGGAAACGTGACAAAGGAAGACAGACAGGAAATCAAACTCTGCTTCCCTCGTTTCGCACACTCGAGAGATTCAAAGTCGGTCTGCTTGAGCAGCACTTCACGACGCAGTGCCGTGCACAACACCAAGAGTACATAACCCCAAGAGTATGCAACTGCCTGCACAACCTCTATGCAGTGCTGCGACGGCAGAACTTCACATCACGCGACATGGTTCAAAAGGTTACGCTGGCAAACAGTACAAAGTGATCACAAGAGAGTTGAACCCAAAGCTGGGTTGCGTATAACCCTCTATCTATCATGCACAGGGTGCAGATAATGAGTAGGACTCTGAGTTTCTCACGTGATGTGAAGTTCTGCCGCCGCAGACCCTATAGCTGGAGTTGCACACTCTGGGGTTACTGTAGAAAACGAGAATTTTTGGTGGCGTAATATTTTCTGTATTTCCCAAAATCAACGGTTCGGTAGCGCGACAATTTCGGTAAACCAGTCTTCCAGATCCAAAAATGCATTTCGCACACTGTGTGGCATGCATGGCATGGTTGCATTTTAGGTCGGGTTTTATTTTAGGTAAAAATTACCTGTACCGAAATTTTCCGGTTTTACAGTATACAACTCGGAGAGCAGAGCTGCCGCGTACTCGACACACACACAGAACAGACAAAAGGGAGTGCATGAAAGTAACGACAAAAATGGAAACACTGGCAGCGGTGGGATTCGAACCCACGCCTCCGGAGAGACTGGAGCCTTAATCCAGCGCCTTAGACCACTCGGCCACGCTACCTGTGACAGTTTAACCTGCTGGTGTCCTTTGAAAAAAAGAAATTGAAGGATAGAAAGTGAAAGAGTTGGTGGACAAGCCGTTGATTATTCACTCTCATTGTAATATCAAAAAGTATTCTTTCTAGACCAAAGAGTGGTATATTTGATAACATTTAATAACGATAGAAATTTTTTACGATACTTCTCCAGACGTTTCGTTGTTCTGAACAACATCGTCAGTGGATAAAGAAATCATTCTTTATCCACTGACGATGTTGTTCAGAACAACGAAACGTCTGGAGAAGTATCGTAAAAAATTTCTATCGTTATTAAATGTTATCAAATATACCACTCTTTGGTCTAGAAAGAATACTTTTTGAGATAGAAAGTGATTTGAAAAGCAAAAAAATGAATTCTGGCAGCGGTGGGATTCGAACCCACGCCTCCGAAGAGACTGGAGCCTTAATCCAGCGCCTTAGACCACTCGGCCACGCTACCATTCACAGTGCATTATGGATTAACTTAATTGGTATCCCATAGGTAATTTAAATGAGCACTACAATAACACATACCGGCATGAGTTGCTGCCACTACTCGCAAAGGTGAAAGGGGGAGGGCTTGTGAAGAAACATGTAAGGTAACTTCGGCCGGGTTCGCAAATTTGGCCGGGTTTAGCTTTAGTAAATGTACAAAGTATTGATCCAAAACCCATTTCCAACCACTTTACAAACGGGGTTTTGACTTGAATTTGGCGTAAACCACGTTGAAGAGCCCGCAACCCAATTGTTTGTCAATGGCCCGGGGCTGTAAATGAGAAAATGTAAGCTATGACCAGGGTATTGCAGTTTCAATGCATCGATATCTTAGTGTGCCCGATCAGGCTGGACTAGTTGGACGCTGACTTACTTGTTCTTTTGAAGTGATAGAGGACTGGTTGCATCCACTGCCTTCAAACCATGAGTCAGTTATCGATGCGCTGCGATACACCAGCGGAGTGGCTGAACAGTCGGATCACATCAACCAATGCACGATTATCCGGACATGAGACTGAGAGACCAACACCATGATGTTGCATTGCATGATCAACAAGTACCACCAGCACCAACACTGCAGCTCATCTCAGTCATACAAAGTGACATGCCTACCGCTCAACCAAACCATCACTGAAACCCCTTCCCAGCCTGGTGGCAAACTGGAGAACCAGTAATTACAATGGCATAGCCATCACCATCGCTAACAACAGCAATAACAGCAATGACGATGACGACAATGATGCGGCGGCAGCAGCAGCAACATGAGTAACAGCAGCAGCAGTGGCACTAGCAGCTGTGGTATGCACATCGTTTTTAACCAATGATTCTGTTCTCTTTTTTGAATTTTTTGCTCTGCCTGCATTCATATAATTATCATCATTGGGTTGTGTGTTCAATACAATACGTTTTAGCAGCAGCAACCATCCAACGGTACTAGACTGGCATCAGAAGCCGCAGTGGCAGCAGTGTGGGCCGGGTAGCAACGGGAATGGCACACCTGCTTCAAGTAGCAACAGCAACAGCACTAGCAATAGCAGTGGCGCATATCATACCTGTCTGCTCAGTTCCAGTCGTGGCCGCGGCACCAGCTGAGTGGTTATACTGCAAAAAGAGAGTCCCCGACTTCCAGCGGTGGCCGCCAAAGACCGACACAACCTCGCCGTTGGAGAAATTGCTCGCCACATGAGAGAGTGACACTCGATTCTCAATGAAAACAGTTCTGGAGATTCGGACATGAGAGTTGAGGGCGGCCAAGATTTGACCCTGGTTGTGTCTGTATGCACACCAACAAATTTGAAACAAGAACAAGCAAACACTCTACTACTAGCTGCAACGAAGCACTGTACAATGAGTCACACTCTACTACTAGCTGCAACGAAGCACTGTACAATGAGAATCATTTTAAAACAACGCCGGTGAGCACAAAACCGTTTTGGAAAAATTTCGAAAACCTCCAATTCAAGATGTTTAGGCTGAAGAAAAGAACTAGCCGCAGGCTGCTCACAAAACAACATTTCTGAAACTTTTCCAAGGGTACTGTCTGTTCTCATCACTGGTGGAAATGCAAGCAAAAAGAAACTGGAGGAATCATAGCGATTTTTATGCAGCAAAGAGGTGATAGAAACAACACGGCAAAGAAGCTACAAACAACATGGTGAAATGTGTGGCCCCATGCACATAGAATGAATGACAAAAAGATGCAAGCGTGAAGACACCCAGCACGTTGCGTGTGGTGCGTTGCGACAACAGTAGATAGCCAGTGGACATGACTAACGAGATGAAACAATCACATTCACACTTAGGCTGCTGGGTAGGTTCAACTAGGTTGTCAAAAGTAGGGTAGGTCATACATACCCTTAATTAATATGTACAAACATATTCATATAGTCAGTCATGTGCTTAAAGAATAGAGAAATTGCCCTGGCGAACCATAAATGGGTGTGGGGGGGGGGGGGGAGAAGGATGATGTTCAATGAATTTGTTTGACGCGGATCTAGAGAGGACTTTTACCAGCTTTTCAGCATGCGTGCACACCGTGCAGTGTACCTCAACGCACACTCATACCGATGTGTATGCATACACATGCACGCATGTACAGACGTGCGCACACACATGCATACACGCACACGCCACACACACACACACACACACACACACACACACACACACACACACACACACACACACACATACACACACACACACATACACACACACACATATAGCCCCGGGTGATCTATCTCACCTCACTGTGCAGTCACTTAGCTCCACACTGCTGTTCACCACCAACAGCAAGGCCATGTGTGTATGGCAACCCTCCAGCACAATACCCAGCAATGCCACGCGAGCGCCCGCATCCAACTGCAGCAAGGAAAAAGCCGAGCCGGTTGCCGTTGCGCCTTGGCAATGCAGCACCGGAGAGTTTGACGCCGTGATATTGCCTCTGCCGGCTCTGGTTGCTGCCGTCTCAGCCTTGGTGTAGTTCATCCGCATCAACACCACCGAAGCATTGCCGCTCAGTTGCCGAAGCCCACTATCTTGGAACTCAAGACTGGAATACAAGCCACTATCCAGTCGAACAACGATTGTGCTGTTTTTCACTAGGGCATTCGAATCCGCTAGCGCGCTCAGAGCATCGCTATCGTCCGCTCCTTCCAGGAACGAGCGAATTGCGCTCAGAGCGAACCCCAACGAAGCACACGGTCGCTCAGCGGCACGCCAGCAACTTGCCACAACACCGGACTGCAGGGCGTCCTCTTTCTCCTCGACCGTCAGCGCTTGATGCGAACTGTTCGCTGCGAAAGGTGTGCACACGTCCGCTTCGTCCACAGCAGCAACACTGCGTGAGGACACGCTAACCATGTACGCTATTCCAGAACAAGTGTCCAGGTTACCGTTCTCATTCTGCGGACTACCGCCGGACAAATCCCAGTCAGCCATCAGAAAACACACTGCGAGCACCAGCAACGTGTTTCTCAGCGACAGCATCATCCCTTCTCGGTGAAGATAATTTATTTTTTGTTTGGTTCAATGAAGAGTTGAAGTCCTGACCTCACCGCATTGCTCGCCATTCGCAGCATACACACCCAAGTCCTCCTTACTCCTCCCCTAGCGCACGGAGCGGCTTTCCTTTCCTCTTGGAGATGCTTTCATCGGTGACTGACTGCAAAACCACCTCTTTTTGAAATAGCAGCTGCATGAAGTGAAGCTAGCTGAGAGCTCAGCTGTACGTAACCAGGTAACAGTGGAAACAAAAATTCTGATGTCCTTCTTCAAGACCAGACGTCTACAACTAGCACAAGTCCGAGTCCTGAGTCGTGGTCGTGATTGGTGATCACGCGCGCACGATGATGCTGCTGCTAGCTGTTCATGCCAATCATGGGCATGACGTGCATGGAGTTGGAGACTGGAGTCGTGAAAACCCTACTTCAGTCAATCTTCACAGATATGGCTGTGCATTGTGCAGGGGAAAAAAACAATTGTGCACTGATGTGAGACCGGGTGAGTGCGATGAGTGTGAGATGCGTTTGACCTGACTCAGTGTCATGTACAATGACTTCAATGATGTAGCTGCTGCCGTGCTCAGTGGTTGTTGCCCTGTGCATATTATGACTCCCTGCGGCTCTGTACCAGCTGAAAGATGTTCACGGCACATGCCTGTGCACACACACACACACACACACACACACACACACACACACACACACACACACACACACCGGTACACACGTGAAGTACAGCGTACCTCTTGTATTACGCAAGCAGCGGCAGTCACTGTCTTGGGGTGGCAATGCAAACCAGGGAGTAGTACAATACCAGGTATTGTACTACTGATGCAAACCAAGCCACTCAGAGGGAGAGAGATAGAAATTCTATCAGCACACACACACAGACCATAAACTATGGTGGTGAGTCACTGCGGACACTGACAAGCTAAAGGGATCGGTTTCAACCAGGAACACAACGCACAAGAAGAACGTGTATCCGTCCACGGTTTGGCCAGGGGGCGAGTAGTAGAGAAAAGGATATTCAGGCAATGAGAGCTCTGCAGCAAATACGTTGCAAACAAAGCTGTCACAACACTGTTGCCACGCGCAACACTCAAATGCCCCATGTCAATACTCTCATACACATGAACACACGCATGCACACGAACACACACGCAGGCACCCCTCCCCCCCCCCCCACACATGCATGTGCACAAACACCCACCAGATAACAGCGCAGAACAGCAAATGGCCAGAGCAGCACAGTCGACTCTCCAAACAATAATACTTTGACACATGCAGAACAGCATGAAGTCGTTAGGGTTAATCATCTCAGATTCAAAGATCCCTGGCACCAGGCCCAGAATCAAAAAAACTCTTCCTTTAAAATTAACTAACTTCTAACATTTCCTACAATAACTGGCTAGAATAGCTGTGCAGCAATGGAAAACTCTCCCTCTCTCTCTCTCTAGTATTATGGCTAGGTATCTGTGTGCCAGACAAAAACTTGTGAGCGGCACCGCGACGGGAAATTTCTAAAATCAAATCTAAAAGTCGGCCATCGTCAGCCGAAGGAGGGGACCAGCAAAATGGCGAGCCAGCCAGCAATGGGCAGACATGAGCAAGATGGAAGAACCCATGTAAGTCAAGTGAGAATAAATAGAGCTCTCTCGTGCGGAGATTTGTTCTTAAAAATAGATAAAAAGGTAATAGATAGAGAGATTAATTTTTTTCATGTCCAGGTTTAAGTTAGTATTGTTAGACTAGGGCACAAGTCCGCCTTTCACTGGCAAATAGCCAGTTGCAAGTGAAGAACTGTACCGAGAGGAAAGTAATGGGAAGTTTCGCTCCATCTCCAAAATGCAATTGCAATGGCGGGAGAAAGACGTCATGACGTCATACTGATGTTGTCCAAACTATACTTCCAAGTATAGATTGGGACGACGCAGAACATGGGGATGTATTGGGAACAACACATCAACAGTAAAGACAATGACATCGTAGAATGTATAGTCACCGTTGATCACTCAGAGTGTTCAGTTGCCGTACACCTTTACCAGACTAAATACTGCTCAAGAGTCAAAAACATACAGATCCAGTGCACTGTCGTAGCATGCACCTGCTACCACTACAGACCTACTCAAGTTTATCCAAAGTAGCTGGGCCAACGCAGAGGCCGTACCCTCACTAACAGAGTCCATGCGTCACAGACTACACCACCGTTTCATATCTGGATGATGTAATCATCAATCTCCGAACACGATGATGTAATCGTCAACCTCTGGATGATGTAATCGTCAACATCTGGATGATAACGTAATCATCAATATCCGGTTGATGATGTAATCACCAATCTCCGGACGATGATGTAATCACCAATCTCCAGACGATGATGATGTAATGGAATGGATGTGATGATGGCCTAGGGCATAATGAGGTGTACATCATCGCTCTCACTGGATCCGACCGGCGGCAGGTGAGCAGTGGAGGATGGACGAGAGCGAGGCAGGTGATGCGTAGATCCTGGTAACGACGATGCTGTGCTGCTAGAGTGGCCGAGTCCAGTTATACCTCCTCCTGTTCTACTGCTGCTCGTGCTGTTCGTGCTGCTGGGATGAACTACCTGGTGCTGGTGCTGTCCACGTGCTGCGTGTACAACTGACGACGACAGGTTGGACAGGTTGGCTGACAGCAAGCCAGCGTTGACCGGGGAGTTAATCTCGCTGACCGAATGCGAGAGTCGGAGTGTGCGCCGCGGTGTGCCCGCTCCGCTGTCCGGGTGCGAGGGCGAGGGCAATTCCGACGTGCACTTACGCACGCCGCCACTGCCCCCGTCAAAACCACTCGCACCTCCACCGCCCCCGCCCACGGACTGCTTCTGCATGCGGTTGGTAGCAAAGGCTGTCCAATCGTCGGCGTCGTGCGTTGCCTTGTCCATTACGCCGGCGGCACTGGACATGGTCATCTGTGACGTCATGGACACCGAAGACTTGAGCATGTGGCGCGATGATGCACCTGCTGTTAATAGAGCACCAGTGCTGTGTCGTGAAGCAGTCCTGCTCATACTACCACCACCGACGCTGCTGCTAGTGTTGGTGCTGGTACTGGTTGAGCCTAGCGCGCCTGGAAACATGCCAGCAGGGCCGATCGCTGACGTCGAATCGTAGTGCACGGACGAATGGGACAGATGAACCGGCGACACTTGGCCGCTGAGGCGATCGCGGTGGACGACGACCGGGTCGGAGTCGCGCGTGGCAAACGGATGGTTAAGCCGAGCGTCCACCGGCATCACTGGCTTTCCATCGTCGTTGCTTGAGCTAGAGTCTGCATCCTCGCTGGCCAGTGTTTCCATACTGGCAGGACCATCACGCTCATCGCTCACGACACTATTGCGTGAGAGTAGGTCAGCAGAGGGGTTGGTATCGGCTTGATGGCACCACTCCTTGATCTCGTCGCGGTACATCATCAAACTGAGGTCGGCCTTGGTGCGGCGACGTCGGCCTTTGAACTTCACTTCAGTCTAGGAGTGGGGATTAAATACGCATACACATACATGCACACACAGACGTGCACACACACACACACACACACACACACACACACACACACGTACACAGGTACCAGCATAGCACAGCAATTATCCAGAGCACCACATCTCCACAAACGATAACACTTCCATCGACACAGAGTAGCATAATGTCTTACACGTTTACCGAACATGTCCTCAGCCTGAAAAAAACATATCATCAGCCTGAAAGGAAGAACCCAGCATCAACCCAGATGTCATACATGTACTGCAGTACATGTATGGTATGCATTACACAACTACGGGCACACCAACGGGCGCATTGGTGCCTGGGTGTGTTTGATTGGTCAATCCAGTTTTAGAGCAGAGACATCAGTGGCAAAAGCAGTTCCCACCGAAACACACCAACAAATAATTATATCATTTCGCCAGAAATAGTGTGGATCAAACATGCTCTAAGGACTTATACTGCTTTCGTGATCTCACTACACTTCTCACTGGTTGATAGCTACTGTAAAGCGGCTAATTTTAGCGGTGACGGTGGTATTTTAGCGACTTCAGCGAAATGAGTGTTTTCACTATAGTTATGCAGCGCCAATTGAAATTTTGCATGTACAGTACAGTACTAGTCATCCTTCTTTTTAAACGGATTGCTAAAATATTTCATCGCGAATTGGTCCAGATTCAGAAAACGCTAAACATACCCGCTAAAATTAACTGTTGTACAGTAGATGAAGCTGTCTGTGTACTTACTGGGTCTGCAAGGATACTCAGCGAGGTAGCATCACGTCGATC